GGAGCTCCCTTCAAGGTCAAGGGGGAAAGCGCCGTCGTCGCCGGACGCCGCGAGGGAGCAGGCAGCGCCCCAGAGGAGCCACAGGGGCAGGAGGGAGCGCCAGGCCGCGCGCACAGCCATCTCTCCGCGGACGTCCAGGCTGGGGACCGTCGGCCTCCGAGGGTCCCCCCTGTGGCACGGCGGGGCCTCGCTGACTCTGCCTCCTCAGCGCCTGCGGTGTCCAGATGCGCAGCCCAGCCAGCAAGCCAGTGAAAAAAAGGGAGAGTGAGAGAGTAAGCGGAGTCCCGGGCTCCCTCCCTCCCTCCCTCCCTCCTCCTGCCCCTCTCCCTCCTCCTCCCGCTCCCTCTTTCACTCTCCCCCCCCGAGGCTCTGGCCCAAGAACCTACAGATGGACGGAACTTGAAGCCGAACATCAAACGGCAGCCAGACTGGGGTGAGCCCCGCCAGCGCCTGGCCACCTCCTCTCCCCGTGGGTCAGGGCTGAGGACTGCGCTGCGCTGGCTTCCTTCCCACACTGATTCTCACCACTCCCTCTTTACCTTCCACTTCCAGGCCCTCCCACTCCAAGCTGGCTTTTCAAATGCGGAGGTCGGGCCTCTCCTGGCAGCCTCCCCTCCCCTCTTGGCTTGGAGGCCCTCCAAGGGCCCCAGATGAATATTCAGCTTTCGTGACTGAATCCTCACAGCTCTCATTTGTGTAGTCAAGGTGCTGCACGTCTTATCTATATTTACATAGATCTTTTATGTGGTTCCCCACTCCTCTGCAGGACAGTGGGTGGAAAAGGGATCCCATGGATGGGAGCCAGAGGTAGATGACATCCAAAAGGCAAAGGGGCAGGGCGCCCACTTTCTTGAGCAAGGTTTCTCATTTTCTGGGAACAGTGTCGCCTTCTTTGTGCTAACATGGTCTCTGGAGACTCACTGGCCACCCGCTTCCTCTTCACAGCCTTCACGCTGGGGGCTTGGGGGAAGAATATCTTTCACTGCAGCGCTGGAAAATGACTTCATGACTCAAAAGCATGAACTTTTATTTACAAAGAACATGTTGTTTTCATCCTAAAGAGGTGCTTTGTAAGGGACCCGGAACAAGGCATGCAGTGTATGAGCCTGTCAAATACACTGCTCACAGCCCCGACCTCTTCCTCTTGGCTTGTAATCTTGTGTCTACTAAGTCTGTCTGACTAATGTATCATTTCCAAGACTTCAGGGTACAGTTGGGCTACAGATGTGCAGGGATGCCCCTATGAATGGAACAGTGGCCGCTCCAGCTGATAGGTACCTTTGCTTACATTGTGTTCCTAAGGGAGCTCTGAACATTCCCACAAGTCCCAAGTGTGGCTTAAAATTAATCAGATGACACAACCATAAAATGGCACCAGGTAAGTTTCTGGGTGCTTGAAATCACAATCATGAAAGAAGGCATTTTCGTAAAACCTAATCCTTAGCTGCTTCTCATAGAACAAAAGTCATTTTATCTAAGGATAAGCAAAGCAATCATTTATTTTGCACCTATCATGTGCCAAATATCTGGCATATGTTATTTGTAAACCTCACAGCATTCCTTTCAAGTTGGATTATTATTTTCCTTTTATAGAAGAAGAACGGGAGATCCAGAGAGGCCAGGAAATCTGCCCAAGGTCACACAGCTGGTAGAAAGCTGAGTTGAGGTTTGGATCTGGGCCTCACTGATTCCAAAGTTTTCTTTTACACTACATAGAAACTCACAAAATAAAGACCATGAATTCAGAGGTGGGAGGGATGGACACTCTCATTTTCTGAAGGCCTCCTATGTGCCAAAAAAATAGTTTAAATTATCTCATTTAATTTGATCTTCATGATAATCCCTTGAAGTAGGCATGGTTATACATATTTGGCAATGAATAAGTGGTAGAAGTACTCTTACAGCACAGGTAAATCTGATGGGAGGGCCTTGATTTTAAATGATACAATGGTATGATGCAAAAGCACCAAAGCAGGAAGAACCCAAAATAATTCTTATAGGAAATGCTTATAGTGTTTTCATTTTAAGATATGAAAAGAGTATTACAGGGAACTGTTGAGCTCAATTATGATAAACTTCTTTCTTTCTTTTTTGAGTTGGAGTCTCACTTTGTTACCCAGGCTAGAGTGCAGTGGCACGCTGCTCATGGCCTCTGCAGCATTGACCTGCTGGGCTCAGGCTATCCTTCTACCTCAGCCTTCCAAGTAGCTGGAACTACAGGTGTGCGCCACCATGCCCAGCTATTTTTTTTATTTTTAATAGAGACGAGGTCTGGCCTTGTTGCCCAGGCTGGTCTTGAACGCGTGGGCTCAGGCAATAATCTCACTTCCACCTCTCAAAGTGCTGGGATTATAGGGATTATAGGCATGAGCCACCACACCCAATCGACTTCTTTCAAATACGTTAGTTTACCTACTAAATCAAATGGAAGAGCTTAAAAATATGGAGGTGCCAAAAAGTGTATACACATTTTAAGTATGGATTTTACTCAAAAGGTGGCATTAACCATGTGACAGGTAGGGCAGTCAAAGAAAATGGTGGAAGCATGGTTGAGTGAACATCATACTACAAATCGCTACCTAATTTGATTCAACTTCGAAAAGTAAAACATAGATAACATTGCTTAAAATGTGTATTTTTTTTGGCACCCCGTATATGTTTGGTTTGTTTGGTTCTGTGAGAGACATATTGGGAGAGAATGGCTAGATTCTGAGGAGAAACAAATTATACTCAATTATTCTGTCCTCTTCTCCCTTTAAAAGAATTTTAAATGATAGATATATATAATACTCTGGCTTCAGATATAGATTCTTCAGTACACCAAAACTGTGCATATTTTGTCTTTTGGAGGATTTCATTCTGTTTATCACTAGCTGCCAATTAATCACACACTCTTTATTTAACCTGGGCCCCCTTTTTTCTGCTCCCCCACCCCAGTGGCAGGAGTGTATTTGTCCAGAATCTGTGGACTTTGAATTTTTGGTTAATTATATGCTCCTTGACTCTTCCTCCTCATCTTCTTTCTGCAGATGCTATTATTATTTTAGCAAAATGGCACAATATGCAGGAACATAGGTTTTTGTATGAAATAAACCAGGGTTCAAATATTGGGTCTGTTTCCAGTAGTTCTGGGAGCTTTGTGTAACTTTAGTCACTCTGAAAGTCAGTTTCCTCACTGTAAAATGACAGTATTGTTGCCTCTTGCACTGAATTATTATGGGTAGTAAATAAAATAATGTAAACAAACTGAAAGGCCATAACGTGGAGTTAACATAGCCAAAGAGCAGTGATTTTAACATTGTTTAGCTTTGTCATGTTTTTCTAGCAGTTAACTTTATCCTCTAACCACTAGCCAAGGACAGAACCAGTTTCTCAGAGGTAGCTATTGATAATTGTTTTACAACCCCCTCTCCAGCTTGTTTCCTAAGCAAGTTAACCTAACCAGCCCTTCAAGACCTTCATGACACAGACCACATCAACATAGCAACAATCATGTGACTAACCCACCCATCTGCCTGTAGTCCATCATCTGACATCAGTACCTTGTTTACCTGCCCTCTGTGATGATGTGGAGCAGGCCACCACCCAATTACCTTAAAAACCTGCCCCCATCAAAGAGAAAGTTTAAAGGGACTCAACCTGAAGAAGTCATTTGCCATTGCCTTATTATCGTCTGGTCATGTTTCTTCTGAGTTATGGCCAGGACGCATTTTCCTAAACTTTGGCTCCCTCCCCTGCCTTGGAGAGGTGGATCTCAATTTTTCTCTCTCTCTCCGATTTACTTTCTAAATAAACTATATTTTCCAATCTAACTTCTGTGTAATTCTTTGCATCTTTCTTTTTTTTTTAAGTTAGAAAATATAGTTTATTTAGAAAGCAAATTAGAGAGAAAGAGGAGATTCACCTCCCCAAGGTAAGGGAGGGGGCCAAAGCCAGGAAACATGGCGACAGCCACAGCTCCAAGAGCCCATGGCCACACCAGAGCCTAGTAAGGCAATGGCCTCTTTGCATCTTTCGTGTGGCACTGGATTGCACACTCCCAGCAGGTTCTGACCTAACATTTTTGGAGGCCCCTACTGGGATGTTTTAACCTAAAATAAACATCAACACATGTCAGCACAAAGCCAGTGCTCAATAAATACTATTTAATTATACAGTGATTCTTCAGTTAGCATTATCTATAGGTTTTTGGGAATTGGAACTTTAAGTGAAACAACATGCAACAAAGCCAATGCTATGATGGGCTAATTGATAGAAACAGGAGTTAAGTTCCTATGGCAGATTCCTGGTCACAAAAACATGACCGAACTTGTAAGCAAAGACCAAAACACTTCTAACATTAAACATGGAAGCAAATATGAGCTACACATACATTTAAGAAAAATTAATAAAACAAGTGACAGAGCTATTTACCCTATGTTTGGTGAATCAGTGAGTGACAGCAGTCATGGTGATAGTGTCTTAAGTCTAGAAATAAATATTTGCAAAGTAACAATTATAAGGAGTACCTCCTTCCACCATGCAGTTCAGAAAAACCCCATGTGGTAGACTTGCTGGGTGCCTTCACCTAGTAGTGCTTATTGTTGTGTATCTGTATGATTATTGTAGACTTCACAAATTTTTATTTGACAATAATTGGTATTCATTCATTCATTCATTTTCTGACCTACGTCTTCCAGTTTAGGTCTGTGGTTGTCCGGATCCTATCCAGGGAGCTCAGGGCACAAGGGAGGACCAACCCTGGACAGGATGCCATCCCATTGCAGCGTGCACTCACCCTCACAAGGGAACCATGTAGACATGCCAGAGAATCTAATGGGCACATCTTAGGGCTATGGGAGGAAAACAGAGTACCCAGAGAAAACCCATGATGGGGAGTAAACATGTTCAGACCTCACACAGACAGTGGCCCAGGTTGGAAATGGATTGCTTTTCTCATCAATGTTATGATGGAATGACATTGACCGAAATTTATTTGAGGACCTTCTGTATTGTATTCCCAAGTCTTAGAGAAGACAGAATGACTATTTCTAAAGAGGAAAGTCAGCCGTGATTGTTTATACTGTGGCATAGGTAACCTCCCTGCTGCTGAGCCATTCACATTTCTGGTTGTTACTGGGTGTTTTCTTGTATGA